TATAATATAATATAATATAATATAATATAATATATATAAAACCCTAATATGCAAATAGACTGAATGGTGGAACAACCGAACAATCAAACAACTGGTTGCTATGACGTGCACCAGGAGGTGGGTGTGGAACATGGCAGGCATTGGCAGCAGGCAGAAGAGTGTGGAACATGGCGGGCATCGGCCGTGGTGGGATGGTGGAGCAGGTGAGTGGGGGAGCCAGACCAAGGCAGGGTGCCGGTTGCTATCATTGGGGTGAGCCTCTGGTGGTTACTGAAAATTCTTTGCTCCATGTGCTGCAGTCCTGCCAGGCACTCACACCAGCTGCCAGCACTGGAGCCGCTGCTTGCACCTGCTGCTGGTGCCCAGCTCCAGCCCCAATCAATCGGCACTGTCAGCGGGTGTGAGCTGTGGCTGCCAGCCCCAATCGCCCATCAGGACTTCTCCTCCTCCCCCTGCTCCTGAGGGGCGATCGGGGCCGACAGTTGCCTCTCGCACCCACTCTTGGTGACGGCCCTACTCGCACCCGCTGCCGGAGCTGCCTCTTGCACCCACTGCTGATGCCGGCCCCTCTTGCACCCGCAGCTGGCACCGGAGCCACCGCTTGCACCTGCTGCCAGTGCCCAGTGCCAGTCCTGATCGCTCAGTGCCATCAGTGGGTGAGAGTGGTGGCTGCAGGCCGTGACTGCCCCTGAGGACTTCTCCACCTCCCCCTGCACCTGAGGGGCGATTGGGGCAGCAGCCACTGCTCCCACACACTGATGGCGCTGGCCCCGCTTGCACCCGCTGCTGGTGCCAGCCCCAATCGCTCTGCACCATCAGCGGGTGTGAGCAGGGCTGGCACCATCAGCACATGGGAGCAGTGGTGGCGGGAGCAGAGCTGCCAGCAGACAGGGGACCGAGGACTGTGGCGGGAAGGGCTGAGCGGGGGTGCAGAGGATGGGCTGAGACCCACCCCTGTGCCCACCTCAGCCTCACAGCCCACAGTTCCTTTCAAGGTGCATGAATTCGTGCGCTGGGCCCCTAGTATGGTATGGTATGGTATGGTATGGTATGGTATGGTATGGTACGGTATAATGTATAATATAATATAATATAATATAATATAATATAATATAATATAATATAATATAATATAATATAATATAATATAATATAATATAATATAATATAATATAATATAATATAATATAATATAATATAATATAATATAATATAATATAATATAATATAATATAATATAATATAATATAATATAATATAATATAATATAATATAATATAATATAATATAATATAATATAATATAATATAATATAATATATTATAAACATATTATATATAAATCTTTAAATTCTAGAGTAAAAAGATACTACACAGGATAAGTGTAGAAAGAGTAGGTTTACAAATCCAATTTCACTCACTGAATAAAAAAGAACCCTTTACATAGGATGGATGGTGAAGCAATCATATTTTTACTTCTTTTTTAGTTTATCTTATTTTGAGGACATATAATTAAGGTCAAGTAGATTAGATTCACCTATAA